TTGTGCACTGATACAACCCAGTTTCATTAGCCAGAGGAGGAGGAGGTTGTTGTCCTTTGGAAGACCTAGGTGGTCTGAGCTTAGCTAAATGATGGAATCTCAGGGCTGGCTGCGGCTTTTATCTGATCCTTTTGCCTGCCCTCAAGCCTTTCAAGCTTGCAAATCATCATATGGCTCTTCCCTTTGGCGCTGGGGAGATTTTCAGTACGTGAAGGTCCAGACTGCCTCTCGCTCATTGCTGCCTCACAGTCTGGTTCTCTGGAAAATGCACACCTGCATAAGTTTGCCAAGTCGGGAGCATCCCGAGATTTCAGGGCCCTGAGACCTAGGGGCAGCCCCTGGGGTTAATGTGGAGGGAGGCCCCATTTGATGTCATTTAGGCAGCCTCTGGTGATGTCATGGGGACAGACCCAGGAGACGGAGGTTAATTGGGAGAGGGGAGCAGAGAAGGGCAGACCCCCTTCCCCTAGAATGCCCATGCTACAATTCACAGCCAGCTCCTTCTGGGCTGAAGTTTGCAAGCTGCATGCACACTCTTCTTAACGATTTATTTTATTAAAGGCACTCTTACTCACCTGGAGATTCAAGCCCTTCTACTCAGGGGTCAAAGGCCAGGGTAAAGAGGTGCATCTTTAGCATACGGCTGAAATTATACCAATGAAGGTGCCAAGCACACCTCTGTGGGGAGGCAATTCCACAACTTAGGGGCTGCCACAGAGAAGGCCCTCTCCTGGGCTATCCACCCACCACCCACGTCCAAGGATGGTGGACCTAGCAAGAGAGACCCATTTTACTACATTTTGAAGTAAGCAGTATTACCATCTAAAGAAGGGGTCACTGACTCCAGAGTTTAAAATTAGCTAACTGCACCGCTGTATTCATGGAGGCCGTGACAATTAAAAACAGGGGAGAAACGTGTTTTCAGTCTGAGGCAGTAAGCTTCTGAACACCAGCTGCTGGGAATCACAAGTGCTCTTGTGCTTTTGGGCTTCCCATTCGAGCATCTGGTTGGCCACTGTGAGAACAGGATACTGGACTAGATGGGTCCCTAGGCTGATGCAAGTGCTGGGTGATTCTGATGTTCTTATGACTAACAGTAAGAGAGGGCTGTTGCCTTCGTGCCCAGCCTGTGAACTTCCTGGAGCCACCTGATTGGCCACTGTAGGGATATGGGAAGCTGTATTCCACAGTGGCCAATCAGGTGGCTCCAGGAAGCTGGACTGGATGGAGTTTTTTTGCCAGATCCAGCTATGGGACTCTTCAGATGCTCTTATGGTCGACATGCGTTTGGAAATAGGTAAGCCAGTGTGGTGTAGTGGTTAAGAGCGGTGGACACATAATCTGGTGAACCAGGTTCGCTTCCCCACTCCTCCACATGCAGCTGCTGGGTGACCTTGGGCTAGCCACACTTCTCTGAAGTCTCTCAGCCCCACTCACCTCACAGAGTGTTGTGGGGGAGGAAGGGAAAGGAGAATGTTAGCCGCTTTGAGACTCCTTCGGGTAGTGAAAAAGCGGGATATCAAATCCAAACTCTTCTAAAAGCCAGGCAGATCAGAAACAAACCAGCAACGACAGGGTTCCACAGAACTTCTTTTTGGAAATGTTTATTTTATGAAAGGCATTCTTTCCATACAAAACAAAACAAAACAAAAATAGTATAAAAAATTAAATATTTAAATATTGCACAATATATTATTCATTCGAGACACGTTCTTTCTAAAGTCATATAAAACAAGTCATATAAAATCCTGCGCTCTTCAGAGCATTACTGCTTGTCTTAGCCCACCCTGGGGGTGGGGGGGGGGAGAGAGACAAGCCGCGCACCGGAACACATCCCTCTCGCCGGCGAGAGGGGGGCATTTCGGCAGCGGTGGGGCAGGTGGGGCGCCCCCTCTTGCGCTTCTGCCGACTGAGGCGGGTGCTTCACCTTGCCTCATGGGTGGGCCGGCAGTGCGTGTGGGTTAAAAAGGCGGGAAAGTGGCCTCTCCCTTAGTAGGACTGCATAGAAGGGAGTGGCGAGTGCTGTCAGAATTTTTGCCTGGACTTCCCTTCAGTGGAAGGCACATTGGCTACCCTATTGCAAAAGATCAAATAAATATACTTTATTATTATTATTATTATTATTATTATTATTATTATATTATATTTATACAACAAAAACAAATCACTAAACATTAAATATCCTCACACCATCCCTCCAAGGAGGTAGGTCATAGCTGGAGTTCTGATGGCTAAGCATAGGTAAGTTATTTCCTCATATCTTGAGGGGAAGAGAGAGAGGTGGGCCACCTCTTGTCCCATGAGTGCAACCTCCGGCATGAAGAAGGCACGGACTGCAGTGAACTGTCCAAATGGGTCAGCTGAGTGCAAAGCAAATTCAAGCATTTTAAAAATCGGGTCGCAGATCGCCACTATATTGCACCGTACATTGCTGGGAAATGTCAACATTCACTCGTCAGTTTGAGGATTCCTTCCCAGACACATTCTTTTTTTGGGGGAACAGGACCAAAGGCTCTTCTTGCCAGAAAAGTCTCCCCAGCCCCAACTTTAATATCACACGAGGCAAAGTGCCTTTTTTATTTCCCCAAGAGTTTCAAGAAGATATTTCTATCTCTGTATCATGCAGTGTTTTAAACTATGATGTTTCGGTTCTGGGATTTTGACTCTTGGTGTCCATGAATTTGGGAAGTGGCCTTAGCTCAGTGGCATCTGAGGTCAGGAGGTCCCAGACTAAGGTCCTGGAGAACTGCTGCCAATCAGTGTAGACAACACTAAACTAGATGGACCCATTAGCCTGACTCTGTATAAAGCAGCTTCCTATTTTCCTATAATTGCTGTGTCGTCGTTTTCAATCTCTACTGTGGAATGGGTGGTTTTAAAAATGCATACATACTTTTTAAAATTGCTTGCTCATCTGCATTTGTGGTTTTCCATATGTTATATTTTCGCCTGTTCTAACAACTATTGATATACTCACGGAGGTGCAACTATGAAGAGCTGTTATTATAATAATAATACCATCTAATAAATATTATAGCTGTAGAATCATGCCTAATCTTGAGCTGCTGGTTATTTCTTAAAATAAATATACAAACACCCGCAGGAAACTGTGGACCCTTTGAGAAAGCTTGGCTCCATTACGATTCGGGCGATATTCCCATCTGCCCCCCCCCCATTAAAAAGGGAGGAGGGAAGCCCAGGCATTGTGCATATGCCAATATTTAAACGCACGCCTACTACTGCTAATCCTAATTACCCTTTGCTCAACACTGAAAAGAGTTGGGCAGCGAGAAACCCCAAATCACATTGAAACTGGCCAGTGTCAACATCTGAGACTGAACACGGTAAAAAAAGAAATCTTAAGTTATGAGCGTGAGAAAATAACCCTTTTTCGGAGGGTTCAAAGCGTATTACATCATCTTGCCATAATCCTAAGGACAACCCTGTAAGGTAGGTCAGTATTATTATCAGTATTGCAAATCAGCATGGTGTCGGGTAAGGCAGAGAGAAAGACGAGAGGGCTCACCCACACTTATGTTTTGCCCTGTGTTTCTAGCACAGGCCTGCGGTTTTCCAGTCCATGTCCAAGCCAGTGGTGTGTGGTCAGTCGACTAGGGGAACTAGGCTAGTCCCCTAAATGCTCCCCTGACGCCTCCTTCTGTTAACTGTTTCCGGGGTGAAATTGCCACCCTGTAAATCAAGACCACCCCCAGAGTGTTTCTGGGGGTGGTCTTGATCTACAGGGTGTCAATTTCAAAAGTCTTTATAAGAACTCACACACGATTTTTCTGGGTCCTTCCTCTCTCCTGAAAGTGAGGGGAGCACCCTGTTGCAACAGTTCAATAAAGGCCAAGCCTACAGGCTGCTGTTTTGCTCCAAGTAATCCTGGTTGGTGTCTTTGTTTTTGTCCAAGGGAGCCCTCGGATTTTTCCGTTAACACTTCCCAAAGCCTGGGAATCTTCTGCCTGGCTTAGGAAGGGAGGCAGGATGTGGCAATGTCACACGCACAATGTTGCGTCCCCCACCCCAAATTGCCCTCGCAAGCTGGCACCTCTGGGCCTAACTTTTCCCCTACGAAAAATTTCAACAAGCGTTGTCATTGCTGTTGCTGTTTTGCCCTGCCAGTTCCCCCAGGAAAACCTGCTCTTTAAGGCTGAATTGGAATCATACAGAATCAGAGAGTTGGAAGGGACCCTGAGGATCATCTAGCCCAACCCTCTGCAATGCAGGAATGTGCAGCTGTTCCTTACGGGGATCGAACCTGCAACCTTGGTGTTATCAGCACCATGCTCTGACCAACAGAGCTATCCGGTGACAAACAGCAATTTAGGTTTCAGAGGCAAAATTCAGTGGTGAAAAAAATGGGTTTTTTTGCTGGGAAAGCACTGGGACGAAAAAGTAAAAGTGCTTGGACAGGGAACTTTAAAGCATGGATCAATGCCTTGAAATGCAGAGCAAAGCTGTGTGTAGACGAGCCCAAAGACAGACAGACAGACAGACAGACAGGACAGGCTTAGCGACGGCCACTTAGTGAGATGGGCTGCAATCCTAACCTGGTTTGTTCAGAAGCAAGTCCTACTGGATTCACCGGGGCTTACTCCCAGGTAAGTAAGGTTAGGAGTGCAGCCTGAATCGCTCAGGATAGCAGGAGCTTCCCTGCTCCACATACAGGCTCAGGACTGAGCACCGTTTTAAACCCCTTTGACTATCCTGACTGTGAGTAGTGAAGACTGTAAAACTAAGTAACTGCGAACAGGTGTGCAAAAGCTTATCATATCACAGTGAGGTAGCTGAGGTTGGTGGGTGTGCTCGGCCCCCCCTCCCCCCAGTAAACATTTCTCCAGAACTCTGCAGCCCCCCCAGCTTTCCTGATCCGGAAAGGAAAAAGACCCATGGGGAGGAATGACTATGGTGTCATCCCCAGGGCTATGGATACAACCCAAAACACGTTGGGTTGACGCTGCAGACAAAGAGTTCTTAGCATGGTCTCACGCGAAAGCTCATCTCTGCCTGTGGCATTTCCCCAAGGCCTGAGCGATGAGCGGGATGGTCTCTGCATACATCCTGAGGGCCCAGCAGCCCTGCTTCTTCTTCTCAAACGCGCCCGTTTCCTCCGAGCCGTAGGTAACCTTCACGTCAGTGACTTTGTACTCGGAGCACAACAGGCAGGTGAGGTTGGCTAGGAGGCCTCGCGTCTTGGCGGTGGTGTTGCTGAGCCGTTCCAGCAGGTCCTTCCTGTCGTTGTTTTCCTGGTCTCTGGTGATGTTGCCCAGGGAGGCGTTGAAAAAGGTGAAGATCTTGTACAGCGAGATCAGCATCTCTTTCCTGGTCCGGTTGTCGAAGGAGGGGAAAGTGTCTTTGGAGACGCAAAGCGATTTCACCTCCGCTCTGTTGAAGGGGGAGCCTTGGCTCTCCAGCTGCTCAGGATAGAAGGAGGAACCAAATTAAGAGCTGGCATTGATACCCATTTTACTTTACTTTATGCTGCTTTAAAAAAAAATATACCCTTGTTATACACATCTGGCCAAAAATAGTCAGGAGAGCATGAGACATTTAATCTCGGGTTGTGGGTTCAAGTCCTATGTTTCTGCATCACAGGGGGTTGAACTAGATGACCCTCGTGGTCCCTTCCGACTCTACAATTCTATGATTCTATGATCTGGATAATGTGCTTTTATCTTTCATAATGTTTCTTTAATGCAGGCCATTGGCAGTAACAATCAAGATTTGAGAGCAGGAACCAATGTGTGTAAAGCGCCTTTGTTAAATCCCACCTGAAACCAAATTAAGAAGCACGTTTCTGGGAGTGGATTAATCTGCTGATTTCATTTTCTCCTTCCCATCTTAGGTTCAATTTGACACATTTCCATATCTGTTGATTTTATTTTACTTTTTAAGGTCCTCGTAAAAATTCATCAGCGATTTAGGATGACTTTCTCCTAGCACGTATATTTTTGCATGCAATTGCCCCTTGTGTATGCATTTTAAAAAATCAATTTCCCCTGACATAATGCATTTTTGTATCTTGTTTTTACTAAGATATTCATTTGGATGCAAACTTTAAGAGATGCACATTTTTTGTTGAAGGACCACATTCCCTTACAAATAACCTTCTGGAAGGCCTGTGCCATTGGAGGACAGGACCAGAAGCAAATGTTGGTGGAGCAACGATGCCTTATGAGGAACGGCTAAGGGAGCTGGGCATGCTTAGCCTGGAGAAGAGGAGGTTAAGGGGTGATATGATAGCCATGTTCAAATATATAAAAGGATGTCACATAGAGGAGGGAGAAAGGTTGTTTTCTGCTGCTCCAGAGAAGCGGACACAGAGCAATGGATCCAAACTACAAGAAAGAAGATTCCACCTAAACATTAGGAAGAACTTCCTGACAGTAAGAGCTGTTTGACAGTGGAATTTGCTGCCAAGGAGTGTGGTGGAGTCTCCTTCTTTGGAGGTCTTTAAGCAGAGGCTTGACAACCATATGTCAGGAATGCTCTGATGGTGTTTCCTGCTTGGCAGGGGGTTGGACTCGATGGCCCTTGTGGTCTCTTCCAACTCTATGATTCTATGATTCTATGAATGCAAATTTGTACAACAGACAAGTTTCTACACATACACTCTCTCTCCATCCTCTATCCAGGAGAGTAAGGAGCATCATCAGAATTCAGGGACATATCCCGGCCAGGCAAAAACACTCAAGGAGGGTGCAAATCAGGTGTGGCCTGGGGAGAGTCCTGAGGGCCAGCTAGACTGCCCTGGAGGGCCACATTCCTGTGCCTGAAGTTCCCAGCCTCCCCTCTATACCCAAAACTTACATAGGCATCGAAGAGACCCGGGGCTGACAAATTGAGACGTGTCACTTGGCACTTAATTTGATTGAAGACTGTTTCTCCGCAAGGGCCGATGTTGTCGCACATGAGGTTCCGCCTGTTCCTCAGGAGGGGTTTTCCGGGCACCAGTCGGCAGTGCATGGCTAGCAGCAAAGGAACAACTCCTGTGCGGAAGAGGAGGAGGAGGAAAGGATGTGTCAGGGTTTGCTGTCCAGTAGGGAAACAATGTGCCCCAGAACCAAACATACAGGAAGTAGAGAAAGAGAAGCAGGAGGCTCTGGTGCTTATATGCCGCTCTGGCTTGAGTTCTGCTGCATTTCAAATGCCAAACGCTACCCAGGGCTAAATGTGCGACAGAGCCAACTTTGCCTAATGCACACATGTAGTTATTCACTTAAGGGACACGGATGGCGCTGTGGGTTAAACCACAGAGCCTAGGACTTGCTGATCAGAAGGTCAGCGGTTTGAATCCCCGTGACGGGGTGAGCTCCCGTGTCTCGGTCCCTGCTCCTGCCAACCTAGCAGTTCGAAAGCACATCAAAGTGCAAGTAGATAAATAGGTACCGCTCCGGCGGGAAAGTAAACGGCGTTTCCGTGCGCTGCTCTGGTTCGCTTAGTCATGCTGGCCACATGACCCGGAAGCTGTACGCCGGCTCCCTCGGCCAATAAAGCAAGATGAGCGCCACAACCCCAGAGTTGGTCATGACTGGACCTAATGGTCAGGGGTCCCTTTACCTTTACTTTTAGTTATTCACTTATTTTGCAAGGAATTCCCTCTGCCATAATGCATCTTTGCGCATTATTTTCATGAACACAGATAAAAGAAAGGACTACTTCAGGGAGCGCAGTGTTAAACTGTGGAACTCACTGCTGCAGTGATGGTCACCAACTTGGATGTCATCATCATCATTATTATTATTATTATTATTATACCTTTGAAAGAGGACTGGACAAATTCATGTGAGGACAACTGTTCTCAATGGCTGCTAGTCACAGTGGCTATCCTCTGCCTCCACTGCGAGAACAGGGTTATTTTTAAAACATTGTTTTCTTACTGCTTTGATATAATTATTTTATATTTCTCACTGTTTTTTTTTTAAAAAAAAACATTTTACGTTGTTTTTAATTCTAGATTTAATAGTGTTCTTAATGTATCCTATTGTGTTTTACGTGCTCTGTTTTGCTTCCTACCTTCCATACTAGTTATTGATCGAAATAAATAGATAAATGAAAAATATAGATGTGAAATAGATGGACCATTGGTAGCCTCACCTTATGGTCTTAATATTTTATGTTGTTTTTAATTCTACATTTAATAGTGTGCTTAATGTATCCTATTGGGTTTTACGTGCTCTGTTTTGCTTCCTACCTTCTCTACTTGTAATTGATCGAAATAAATATATAAATGAGAAATATAGATGTGAAATAGATGGGCCCTTGGTGGCCTCACCTGATGGTCGTAATCATCCCTCTGGGTTTCCCCCTCCCCAAACACCACCAGTCCTGAGAGCGAATTGCAAATGCCCTCTGCTTACTCTCCCCTGGTTTTCTTTACTCTCTGCTCCTCCTCTTCCAGGCTACTATAGCTGGATGCTACCTCCCTCGCTGGCCACCCACAGCTCCCATGTGCTATTGTTTGATTCGTGCAGTTTTGCCCAGCCAACGTCACCAGAATTCCCCTCGGTTCTGAGTGACGGGTGGCAACCTTCCCAGATTTCATAACCGCAGGCCAAACAATGTCAAATATGCAAAGCGGTTCCTACCGGGAACATCTCCAGCTCAGCATCAAAGCAGCAATTTGGGGAAAACCTCTTCCCTCATTTCACAGTTATTTCTCTTTTAGACAGTCGGAGGAGGACTGTGCGCTAGGCAGGTGTCCCACAAAAAGGTGTCCCACACACACACACACACACAAAAAGCAGGGCATAGGAAGCTACCTTATACTAAGAAGCTTAATATTGTCTGCACTGACTGGCAGCAGCTCCTTAGGTCTCAGGCAAGGGACATTCCCAGCCCTACCTGGAGATGCCAGGAACTGAACATTAGGACCATCTCATGTGAAATAATTGCTCTACCCCCTTCGCTATAGTCTTTCCCCATTGGCCCATCCAACTCAGTACAGTGGTATCCAATTGGTCCATCCAACTCAGTACAGTGGTACCTCGGGTTAAGTACTTAATTCGTTCTGGAGGTCTGTTCTTAACCTGAAACTGTTCTTAACCTGAAGTACCACTTTAGCTAATGGGGCCTTCCACTGTCACCGTGCCATGATTTCTGTTCTCATCCTGAAGCAAAGTTCTTAACCCGAGGTACTATTTCTGGGTTAGTGGAGTCTGTAACCTGAAGCATCTGTAACCTGAAGCATCTGTAACCCAAGGTACCACTGTATTTTCAAGGGTTTGGCAGTCAAGCCTGATGAGGAATGGTTGAAGGAGCTTGGTATGTTCAGCGTGGAAAAGAGGCGACTGAGAGGAGATATGATAGCCATCTTCAAATATCTTAAGAACTGTTACGTGGAAGATGGAGCAAGCTTCGTTTTCTCCTGCTCTGGAGAATAGGACTCAAACCAATGTCTTCAAGTTACAAGAAAGGAGGTTGTGGACTCTCCTTCATTTGGGGTTTTTAAGGAGAGGTTGGACGGCCGTCTGTCATGGATGCTTTAGCTGAGATTCCTGCATTGCAGGGGATTGGACGAGATTACGCTTGGGGGTATCTTCCAACTCTATGATTCTGCGATTCTACGACTGGCAGTGGCTCTCCAGGATTTCAGGCAGGGAACCCCTCTATTACCCCTTCCTGGAGATTGAATGTGAGGTCATTCTGCATGCAAAGCAGGAGCTACGCCCCTTCCCTTGAGGAACACAGGAAGCTGATTTACATGGAGCCAGACAATTGGTTGGTCTAGCCCAGTGCTGTCTATACTGACAGGCAGAAGCTCTCCAGGGTTTCTTAAAGGGGTGTTTAAGAAACCTCGGAGGCCCTGGATGTTGTCAGACTCCCGCTCCCATCAGTCACACGGCTAAGATGCAGTAGGGCTGCCATATGTCCGAATTTTCCCGACATTAGTGGGATTTCAATGGTGGCATTGACATCCAGGGGGGATTTCCTAAAGGCGGCACCTTATCCTGAATCTTTGACAAGTCAATCAAAAAATCGCAGGGTTGTTGTTTTTGCGTTTTTGTAGAACAAAACAAAACACCTCAACAACTTTGGGGCTTTCCTAAAAAAAAGCTCAGGTGTCCTGGTTTTTACTTTTTGAAATACAGTCGTACCTCGGAAGTCAAATGCCTTGCGACTTGAATGTTTTGGCTCCCAAACGCCACAAACCCGGAAGTGAGTGTTCCAGTTTGCAACCGTTTTGGGGAAGCTGAACGTCCAACGTAGCTTCCGCGGCTTCCGATCGTGTGCACGATTGGTTTCCGAATGTTTTGGAAGTCGAACGGACTTCCGGAACAGATTCCGTTCAGCTTCCCACGTACGACTGTATGGCAACCATAAGCTGTAGTCTAACAACATCTTGAGAGACACAGGTTCCCTATCCTGGACCTGTTTAATGACCAAGACATACCTGCCATCCCATATACTCTTTAAATAACTATGGTCTGGGAGTGACCAGCGACTTGCAGAAAGCTCGATCGGAAGAGCAGGGGGGTCAAACACAAAGAGGAGCTTGGTGGGCTCAGCCTTGTGGGGCCAAGGAGGACAGGAAGGAGTTAACTGAGTGGTGGGGAGAAGCGGCAAAGCGTCTGGGTATAAGGCAGGGGGAAGTTGGCCAAATGTGTGGAGGAGAGCAAGACAGAGGATGAAGCACATTTGCAAGCAGACCTTCCATGTGTCCCTATTTTCCAGGGACAGCCTCGGATTTACAGAAGCTGTCCCAGTTCCTTGGAATGTCCCAATTTCCCATAGGACGCCCCTATTTTCACCGGAGAAATATTGGAGGGTATGGAAGGACGTCCCTCAGTGCTGGATTCAACCCTGTGGAGGCCCCTAGGCAGTTAAAATTTCAGGGTGGGGAGGAGAGAGCCTCGTGCGTGAGCTCTAGTGGGATAACATTGAACTAAGGAAGATTGGTTGCAATTTGCTCTCAAGGTCAAATCAATATTATTTTTGATCCGTTTTCAAGAGGCCCCTAAAAGAAGGTTACCAGACGTCCCCTGACAAAATCCTATCATTCCTATTGAAATTGAAAAGTGTCCCCGGATTCATTGAAAAAAATCTGGTAACCTTACCCTAATAGGCGTGGAGCTCATAAGCTTGGACACTGGCACCCCTATTTTCACCAGAGAAATGTCGGAAGGTATGTGAAAGGAGAGAGAAAGCAGGGGGAACTGGGTGAGAGAGGGCAGAGGATTTCTCAAAAGAGAATTGCAGAGGCTACTGCCAGCCAACGAGACCCACTCAAGGTGGCAGGGAGAGGAGTTTTAGTACCAGTGGGTATGTGCCAAGGCTGGGCATGACGTCTAGGCAAAGTAAATATGGTGCATGGGCTGAGCAAGGCCTAAGGGGGGCCACCAAACTCCAGAGACGTGGGCACCAGAAATGGGGAATCCTCTTGTCCGTGGGCCAAACTCTCTCCACCAAAGGTCTCAATCTGAGCCCTATTTTCCCCAAGCTATGCCCAGCCACCCTTCAGACTTAAAGCGAAATCATTTGGCTGGTGCACCCATCAGCTGATGGGATGTTGAGGAGGAGGACAGTCTTGCTCCAGGAAGAGGAAGCGGTTTTGGAAAACCGCTGCTGCTGCCATGGAGGTTGTTCGATAAGGGAAATTGCAGCACATGACATAGGCAGCCCTGGCTCAAATGAGGTGCTAGTGATAGCATCTCCCCTAAGATCTGCAGTTGATTCCGTGCTAAGCATTCAGCTCTGTTCCTCAAGAGTCAGGCTGGCTGTCCAAGGAGATCACACTAATATCTCTTTGCAAAGGACAGGCAGAAGCTATTCCTCAAATGAAAGCTATCATATTTCCAAGGACGGAAGAGGTGATTTGTTGCTGGGTAGCATTCAGGTCCAACGTTCCAAAAACCATCCACTTCCACATGGATGCTTACAGGAGCCCATCGGCTTCTCCTGTTGCCCTTTTTCCAGGCAGGTATTATTAGTCAGAGGTTTGGTTCTGTTCACCAATCATGGATAAAGCAGCCAAAAATTGTCTAGCCCTTTCTAAAAACCATCTTGTAGCTAGTGTCTACAGATGGGCAAATCCATCCATTTCTTTTTCTCTCTTGTTTTTTTCAATCTTAAATTCAGTTTGCTACATTTCCACATCATTTTCTGAATTTTTAAAGTTTAAACAATGTATCTTTTTCTATTAAATGTTGCCCAATATGCCCATTTTTTTGCATTCAGTTTTGCCTTATAAAGTACATTTTTGTATACTACAAATAATCATAATCATAATATTTTTATGCCATTCATCTGACTGGGTTGCCCCAGCCACTCTGTACTGAGTTTTGCATTGCAAAATTGGAGAAAGTGTGAAATTTTGAAACATGGCTACATTTCAGTTTGTATACTGTTCCAGGAAGTGCACAATAGGTAGATCCAAATTAAAATGCGAAGCAAACTGAATTTATCTCTTATCCCGACTAGTGACCATTAAAATGTCTTGTGCTGGTGAATTCTGATGGCACAGCCTTAGAATGTACACACTATAATAAATGGGTATGTTTTCTTTTGAAGGTGTTGGACAACCCTGAGGTTTTGGGGTATTATTATTATTATTATTATTATTATTATTATTATTAAAAAGCTTATACAGGTTGCATTATTAGCCATTAATTCACCAGCTGAAGAGTTCTAGCAAGAAGATATTCATCTCTCTAACACATGAGCTCTTGCAAAGCTTATCTTGATTCTAGCTTTGCAGAGGGTTGGACTAGATGACCCTCAGGGTCCCTTCCGACTCTACAATTCTACCATTCTAACTGCCCTTTTAAAGGTGTCAGAGGATGCTGAGGTTTTGGGGTGGTGGTTGTTTAAACTTTTCTGGGTTTGCATTAATTAACAGCTCAGGAGCTCTAACAATAAGCTGTCCACCTCTTGGCAGCTGAGCTCTTGGAAAGCTTATCTTGCTTATTCTAACTGCCAAACAGTTCAGGAAAATCCAGTGAAGAAAGATATGCTCTGTAACACTGATTTAGGTAAGCCTGACCAGTGGGGTGGGGGGGAGCCTGTGAAGCAGGAAAGGAGACCCAGTCTAAGAATCCCAAACTGGAAGAACAGAATAATTCCTTAGAGAGGCCCCAAACCTTGAGAGGTTAGCATACCTTCATTCTAGGTTTGATTGCTCCCTATGATGGGCTGGTGGGACGCGGGTGGCGCTGTGGGTTAAACCACAGAGCCTAGGACTTGCCGATCAGAAGGTCGGCGGTTTGAATCCCTGTGACGGGGTGAGCTCCCATTGTTCGGTCGCTGCTCCTGCCAACCTAGCTGTTCGAAAGCACATCAAAGTGCAAGTAGATAAATAGGTACCGCTCCGGCGGGAAGGTAAACGGCGTTTCCGTGCGCTGCTCTGGTTCGCCAGAAGCGGCTTAGTCCTTCTGGCCACATGACCCGGAAGCTGTACGCCGGCTCCCTCGGCCAATAAAGCGAGATGAGCACCACAACCCCAGAGTCGGTCACGACTGGACCTAACAGTTAGGGGTCCCTTTACCTTTTTTATGATGGGCTGAATACAATCTAAGCTGCTTCAACCGCTGGATAACATTTCCCTTCTTTCCAAACTTCCTTTTGGGAGGGGAGGGGGATTAAAATGTCTAATTCGATAAGTGAAGTGTTTCTCCCCACAGCCAGAAATATGGGGGGAATCTTTCAGAAGTTGCCAGGAAGTTTAGCAGAAGTCTGCCAAAAAAGAAAAAAAGGGAAACCATCTTTTTCTCACACTGCCCCAAAATGCTCAGAGGTCTTTGGAGTAACTAGAGGGATAGAGTTGAAAGTTCAGCCGGGGTCACGCTTTGGACTGCAGAGGGCAGAAGGCGCTGACAGCGGTCCTCAGTGAACTTTGGAAAGGGAAAGGGAAAGGGGGAAAAAAGACAACAAAGAAAAAGTAATCTGAACTTGAGAAAGGTGGGTTACCTGAAATGATGGCTTTCATTGTAAACTGCATCCTGGAATGACGTAAGAGAATTGGCCGTTGGCAGGAGTGTTCATTCAGAGAGTGGTGCTTAATACTTGGGGATGCCACTGGTTTATATATACTTGTGAGCCTGTGTTGTAAGAAAGGGGAGGGAGATTTCATTGAGAGTGGAAATACTGAGCTCTTCCGAAGAATGAAAATGTTGAGGTCATTACATTTGTGGTTTTTCTGGTTCCTCCCCATCAGCCCCCCCCCCACTCCACACCCGAGTGTGGCTCATTTTGGAATTGTTTGATACGAAATTAAGTGGGCAGATAAAACAACAACCATTTGAAGAAAAATCAGCTCCTGTTTTTCCCTGCCTACATCGATACAATCATGTCACGAGTCATCGCAAGGAAAAGAGCTGTCAGACCACAGGTTTGACATCATAGGCTTCCCCCCCCCTCCATCTTCTGTTCTCACCCCACCCCTCGCCACAGAGGGGAGTGCAACTTTCACTTTTGTAGCCCAATGATTTCCCCTGGGAAAGGCACTTTCTTCAGCGTTTCCGAGAGGCCGGGTTGTACAAAGGTAGAAGCACACCCACGCATGGCCTCATTTGGTAATTATCGGGGCAAAACAAGAAGAAGAAACGGAAGCCGGTGGAGGAATTTCTGTGGAGGAAATCAAAAACCAAGAAAGTACATGAAAAGTGAGAGAGAGTGTGTGTGTGTGTGTGTGTGTGTGTGTGTGTGTGTGTGTGTGTGTGTGTGTGTGTGTGAGAGAGAGAGAGAGAGAGAGAGAGAGAGAGAGCTTTATCGCCCCCTGGTGGGCACTTTGGAACATCAATGGATTTGTGTAAAAAAATCCAATCCTAGAACCAGCGCTTTTTTTCTCTTTTAAAAAAATAATGTTTAGGCTTTTGACTCAGGAAAACCACCATTTTATAGTTCATATCAGGAAAAATAAATACAGTAAATGGACAAAAGTACAAAGATTCACAAAATGTTTAGGGGTATGCGTCCCCCCAGAAAAAAAAGCACTGCCTAGAATCCAAAGTACAAAGATGTTTAAAATCAGACACTGCAAAACACTGGCACCCACAGATATACCCTCCAACATTTCTCTGATGAAAATAGGGACGTCCTATTCCATGAGAATGAAAATAATACTAATAATGTTATTATTCGTACCCCACCCATCTGATTGGGTTGCCCCAGCCACTCGGGGCAGCTTCCAGCATATATAAAAACATAATAAAACATTTTAAAAAAAACCTTCCCTATACAGGGCTGCTTTCAGATGTCTTCTAAAGGTTATATAGTTACTTATTGTATCTCCTTGGCTCGGAGGCCACAAAACTCCATACCCTCCAACATTTATCTGATGAAAATAGGGACCCCTTGCCCAACATTTCACCAATGAAAATAAGGAAATCTTAAGGAAAGGTAAGACATTCTGGGATCAAATCAGAGACAGACAACTTCTGTAAATCTGGGACAGTCCCTGGAAAATATGAACACTTGGAGGGTCTGCACTAACCACTATACGGTGGTACCTCGGGTTAAGAACTTAATTTGTTCTGGAGGTCCGTTCTTAACCTGAAACTTTTCTTAACCTGAGGTACCACATTAGCTAATGGGGCCTCCCACTGCTGCTGCGCCACTGTCGCATGATTTCTGTTCTCATCCTGAAGCAAAGTTCTTAACCCGAGGTACTATTTCTGGGTTAGCAGAGTCTGTAACTTGAAGCATATGTAACATGAAGCGTCTGTAACCCGAGGTACCACTATACTGCCATGGCTAATTTGTGTGGAGCAAGAGACTTGGAAGGAAAGTAGGCCACAATATTGCATAACAAGCAATGGATGTAATTTTTACCCCCGTAAAGGTAAAAAAGGTAAAGTACCCCTGGATGGTTAAGTCCAGTCAAAGGCGACTATGGGGTTGCGGCGCTCATCTCGCTTCAGGCCAAGGGAGCCGGCGTTTGTCCACAGACAGCTTTCCGGGTCATGTGGCCAGCAGGACTAAACCGCTTTTGGTGCACGGAAACATTGTTTACCTTGCCGCCGGAGTGGTACCTATTTATCTGCTTGCCCTGGTGTGCTTTCAAACTGCTAGGTTGGCAGGAGCAGGGACCAAGCAACGGGAGCTCACTCCGTCATGGGAATTCGAACTGCC